GGGCGCCCTCTGAGGGGCTTGACCTTTGCTCGTTCTTTGGAATTGTTTGACCGTCGCTGAGCTATCCCAGCTTTCAAATAGCAGTGAAGTCCGCCGCAACCTTGTCAACAACCTAAGCAACACCTGCGTAACGATCGCGAAACTTGGTGGTTTCCGCGCGTTTCGGAGATGGAAACAGCAGCTCACTCAAGTAAACTTTCGCGAGCTTTCGATACAATTCGGACCACTAGCGACAGAACACCTGGAGTCAATGAGGCTATTTGCGAAGTTGATGGATAACTAACTACCAGTTTGCGCAGACACATGGACCGCTGGGCTGACACCTCCACTCCCAATTCAGCTTACTTCTTCATTCCGCCTGTCTAACAAGTATGCATACTTGCCCGCCTTAGAACGTTTCAGTGGAACCATCCACCGAAATGGGGGTTTACCTTGAGCTCCGTCACTTGAAGCTATTTAAGCTTTCTGACAGACCGATTTCCTCCAAAGCTTTTCAAGTACGGTGACGAGACAATTGTCGATCAATTAACGGCTCTGTTCCCTAAGATTTGTGTGAAGAAAACGGTTCATCTTCCTGGGACGAGTCTCATGTCGTCCCGATATTCACCAATGGTGCCCGTACCTTATGTACCAACTACAGAGTAATCAGCCTAATATCCGTCGCCTCCAAAGTGTTAGCACCTATTCTACTCCGCAAACTAACACCGATTCGACAACCACACTCCCGTGCAGAACAGGTTGGTTTCTGCCCTGTCCGGGAATGTGTGGACCACATGTTTACGCTCCGCCAACTCATCGAGCAGCGTCACCTTTGCTGTCAGCCTACTATTTTCGTCTTCTTAGGCATCTAAGCTGCATTCGACTCTGTTGATTGGAATGCTTTGTGGCGTTCTGAAAATAGTTTAGGTTTTCGAAAAGCATCCCGCCATCCTTCGAACATTCTACAAGAATGTCTCCAGTTGAGTAAAAGCTTACGGTAAGCTTTCATCTTTTGCCGTCACTAGCGGTGTACGACATGAACGTCCCATGTCCCATTTACCTTCAAGTTTGCGGTTGAAGATGTAGTGTTAAACGCTCTGGAAGGTCTTTCGTTGTTCGCTGACGACCCAATATAGTTCATACTAAACCACTTCGCGATTGAAACTACCAAGTATGACATAACATCTGCTCCCACGAAATGCAAAATCCTACACCAGGATTGGAATCCACTCGCCCGAATGCTAACTCTTGAAGGCGCACAGCTTGAACAAGTGGATGGCTTCATGTACATTTGGAACTGCCTTGCTGCCGATGACACCATTGGTTAAAACATTTCTCTCTGTATTGCCAAAGCCCGATCAGCGTTCGCTAATCTGGGGCGTCGTCGTAACGTTTCAGTCTCGGCAAATGGCGTGGTCTACAATGCCTGTGTACGGAAGTGAGTCCTGACCGATTCTGGTGAATGACATACGTCGTTGACAGTGGTTTCCTGCGGAGGATAGCTCGTGTGTGGTGGGAACCACGTTTGTAACGGCGATCTTTGACGTCACGTCTTAGGTAATACGAACCTCCCTCTAGACAAGCAAATATCACTGCTACAACTGAGGTGGGTGGGTCACCTACTATGCATACTGTGCGAGTGTTTACCACGGCGCGGTCTATTCTCTTGCGCATTGCCGCACTGAAAGAAATCGCATGGTGGTCAACCTACCACATGACGACAACCGTGAAAGCACGAACTTGCAGTTTAGCTGTTGTCGCTCCCATGCCTCTTCCGGACTGAGACGCCAACGAAGAACACGCTGCTAAATCCTTGAGGACATAGCGCGGAATCGGACTTTGTGAGAGATTGACCCATTGATTATACTAACCAACACCGCAATCATTAAGCAGACAAAAAAGACAAAACAACGCATGAAAACACAAGAAAGTTTATCCCTTTCCCTGTTCGTAATCTTAATACTTGTTACGCACAGCCTACGTTCAGTATATCTCCTGCGCCTGGCTGACATAAGTGACTGGTAGTCTTTATACCTTGTGGCTCAGCTGCCCATATCCTGTTCACATTGCGTACCTGGGAAGCGCTTGACTAGAAAGCTGCATTAGTTGTGAACCTAAATAATTACATTGGTACTTTCCACAAATAACGATTGCGGTGCTGTGTTTTTACTGGTGTAAGCAACCCCTTTGCTCAAAGTGAACTAGCCGCCGTTTATGTTACATTGGGGAAAGTTACAGACTAAATTGTTAGAAGTTACACGGTTTTTTGAAATCAATCAGAGCATAGAAAGACAACCACGCAAGCATATTAAAAGTGACCAAGTTAAGCACCAATCAGATGCTATCTATAAATGGTTAGTGGTAGCGCTAAGCGTCGGAGCTAATGTGACTAGGTTCCAGGACTAATGACTCCAGATTGTCAATCGGATAACCAAAATGACGGATTAAAACATATGTCATGGCGTGGACGGAACAAAATGAAACATTGCAGTTCCGTCCTTCTACATAAAGTGTGCCTGAATTTGCCCATCCTCTGACAAAGCCTTGTTGTTAGAGGCGGCGTGTCTTTGTGTATATTGTCTGAGTGTACCAATCTCACCGCCCATGACACACGTTTTCAACGCTATTGCGATGCTTGTGCTGATTGATAAACACAATGGTGAGTAACTAATTGAGAGTCTGTTTGTATATCACTCACAGCACTTAAGGAACACAAAGAACTGCCGTCATCATGTTTGTGTGTGTACGTGTGCGTCGATCAGTGGCAATTCAAGATCGGTGCTCAATTTATACGCAGTGCATGAATTTAAAATTCTCATGTTTTGGAATGTAGACCTGTAAGGACTCCGCCCACATCCGCTAAATATATCTTCTCCCAGAAATAGCATTTTCGCGACATTATCTGTATAGTCGTACCCTTCCTCAGATGGTCCTCGACGAAATCAACGCCGCGCTTAACGTGTCTCCACAGTGGGCTGCCAACAAATGGCCCGTTACGGCTATTTTCGACCAAGATTTAGTCGCCATCCTACGTCTATTGATCGCTCTCGCGCGGCGTTTCGCTCCTTCCGTTCGACTGCCTCGAGGAGTCCAGTTGACAGTACTAATAGTGCGAAAATACAATGGCATACTGCAACATCGAAGGCAAATTGAACACATCACAGAGATGGAAGCTGAGCAGGGTAAGTTAAAATTGACTACACCTTCACTGAGTATCTCTTTTTCATTTCTTCAAATACTTACCCTTGTATCCCATTAGGTTACCATGTTGCCCATAGATGTCTCCTTGTGGTTTTCGGCAATTTATCAGCATACACATTTATGCATTTGGTATATTACAACATGAAGTAAATAGCTTGATCCGTGATGAGCATTAAAGCGACACTATACTGCGATGTGTTCACCCAATGATGTCAACGCACAGGAAGCTGAGTTGTGGCAGATGGCCGCGATAAAACTAGTGCTATGCCTCTCCTATTCGAGCGAAACAAATTACTGTTACTTACAGTTATCTGCGCACCCAGTAATTTAAGAGAGCTCAGATCCACTACGGCTCCCTTATAGTCCTAAACGCTCGTTCCAGTCAAAACGGTGTGGAGTAGCAGCTATAATCTACACATGCCCCGCAGCGAAACCCATTCAGCATCTAGGCAGGTCCACCTTGTCATCAAACACTATGACCGCGAGCCCGTCGCAACGAGATCGGACCGTAACGTGGTGCGATGTTTTGCGTACCTCCTTGACCCATTGAGCTATACTGGGTGGTGCCTCCGGGCCCCTTGAGAGCTACTCCTACTAGGTCGGTCAATGGTGAGAGATCAGACTAACTCAGTCTCCTGGTCCTCCATGTTGGGGCTTTGAAAATGAATGACGTTCATTTCTGTAAAACTAAGTCATTGCCACTCTCCCGCCACAGGCTATTGAGCCAAAGACTTTGGATGAGGACCCTAATCGTCCTCCTGTCTACGTCTAGGCGCCCTGGCAGTATCTCAGCCCATATACAACCGTGAATTTTTCTTCAAACATCCTGCATCGACCGTCGCGCAGATTATCAAGGGTCGCCTTATCCGCTGCATACAGCACGGCGGATTAGCGAAAACATGCTACTGCTGGCGCCTTCCTTCTTTCTTTTCCACCTGTTTCTCTTACCCCCGTTACTAACTTTTCTTCTATAATTCCCAGCTTGATTGACAGCAACCGAAGTGCCACTGGAGTAGAACAATCTGCAGCCACCATCCCACCGTAAATATTGGACGCCTATCGACAACAGTCCCTTATAAGGCCACGTTGTGCCGTTTCCATGGCGGCGTTCAACGTTCGCACTCTAAGATAAATAAGTCCACAGGATGCACTCGCAAGCAGCTTGGACACACTGGGTATTGATGTGTGTTGTGTGTCCGAAACTAGGATCAATGACCCTAATGTGGTTGTTGAATTAACTGCACCCGGCTTGTCCTCTCGTTGTTGGTTGCACGCATCCGGAGACGCCGATGCAGCACTCACGGGTCAAGCTGGTGTAGGTATCATTCTAAGCTCCATGGCTAAGGCATCGTTGGTTAAGTGGATTCCAGTGAACAGCTGTTTATGTGCAGCCCGTTTGACATCAGCTAAGGTTGATTCACGAAGTAGTACAAAACGCTGGTTGTTCGTGATTTCCGCTTATGCTCCCACCGATTGCAGTTCTAATGCTGTCAAGGACACATTCTATGACGAACTGAACGCGCTACTACGCAGTGCTACTAGTTCAGATATTATAGTACTTGCAGGGGATATGAACGCACAAGTAGGGCGTCTGAGCTCTTCAGAAGCTCAGCTGAGTGGTAATTATGGGCTTAACTCCGAACGGACTGACAACGGTGAGCGTCTGCTGCAACTGTGTGCGGAGCACCAGTTGTTTCTTAGTAGCACTGCTTTTAGACACAGTGGGCGCCGAAGTGCCACTTGGCGTCCTGCTGTAGTTGGCCAGCGATGGACCCAAATTGACCACATAGCCATAAGTTACAGGTGGCGTGATTCCATCCTGGATTGCCGCTCGTACTGGAGTACCTGTGTCGAGGCTGATCATGCCTTGGTACGCTGTCGTTTTTCCAAGAACTTTACTGGGTGGCGCACAAAGCGTCACCTCCGATTGGCAACGGAGAAATTGTCTCAGCCCTCGGTCAGGCAAGCCTATCAAGACGCACTGTATACCGAACTATCACCGTCTTGTTCTAATGCCACTGCGCTTCAGTGAAATAGGATTTCGGCCGCCCTGCACGACACAGGAGCATCTGCTTGTGGCACTATCAATCGTCACCGCACCAGTCACTGGATATCGGAGAGGTCGGTGAACCTTTTGGAATCTAGAACAAACCTCCAAGCTAGCTCTGAGCACAATGTGACCGGACGTACTATTACCCGCGAACTAAAGCGAAACCTATGTGCTGACAGGGAAGCGTGGTGGACCTGTTGGGCTTAAGAAATAGAGAAGGCAGGATCAGTAGGCAATTACCGCAAGCTCCTCCAGCTGATTGGCACTGCTGGTCTCAGGAAACCAAGCATCAGTGAGACAATCAGAGACAGCGCGGGTGCGCTGATACACAATAAGGAGCACTGTATGGTTCGCTGGGCGGAACACTTTCAAGATCAGTTCAACTGGCCTCCTGCTTTCGGACTTGGTCCTTCTCAGTTGATGCAGGACGAGCCATGGACGGTTAGTTTAGAGCCGCCGTCGGAGGCCGAGGTCCGAAACGTTATCACAACCCTCAATGGTTTTCGTTCCGCTGGCCCGGATTTCCTTTCACCTGCACTATTTAAGGATGGAAGTGAGGTCCTCTGCAAAGCACTGACCCTGTTCGACGTATCTGGAAGGAAGAGTGTTTCGGCTAATTGGAGCGAATCGATTAAACTGGGAGTATACAAGAAGCGCAGTTGCACAGACTGTTCTAACCACAAGGATATTAGCCTAACGCCAGTTGTGATGAAATTACTCCTCTCGATTCTCATTCGTCGCCTCACTGTGAAGCTGGAAGCTTGGATTTAGGAAGAGCACGCAAGTTTCCGCTCAGGATGTGGCTGTATAGACCATATGTTCACTTTGCGGCAGGTGCTAGAGCAGCGTCACGCATACCGCAGACCGACAATAGCTGTGTTCCTTGATTTCAAGCGTGCGTTCGATTCAGTCTATCGGTCGATTCTATTCGAAATACTTACTGGGAAAGGTGTACCCACGAAATATGTGAACATTTGACGTGCCCTATACTCGAACACCACAGGCCGCGTCAGGATCTACGGTGAATTATAGAGGATGCGGCCCTAGAATCCTAAAACTTGTGGTTCAGTCCGAGCAACAAGCAAAGGATGTTTTGGATCGATGGCGGAGAAATCAGAAACATCTTCCTTCCGAAATTCGGCCAAAGGTCGCAAACAATTCGCACAGCTCAAGTATTAAAGAAACTGAAGCAGCAAGCATCCTGACGAATGTACAGAAGTGTAACTTGACTGCTGCTTTACTTGACTCTGACGTAGGTCTAAACGAAGGCTGGGACGCGCCTTGGTCGAATGAAGTTGCAAACGAGGTATCATTGAGACATCAAAAAAGAGTCACTGCCGACCTCCCATCGGTCGGCATTCTCCCACACTTGACAGCTTCACCTCTCTGCGGGCTCCTAGAGACCGAGAAACTGGCCTGCTTGTATACAAATGCTCAGGGACTTTCTAACAAACTGGCTGAACTGAAAGATCACCAAGCTTCCGGCTCGTATGATGTCATTGGTATCACCGAGACATGGTTGCACACGGGAATGACGGACGCTGAAGTGTCACTACCCGGCATGTCGCTGATCCGGAACGATAGGCTCAAAAAAGGAGGAGGGGTAATCCTGTACTACCGAAACGACTTACAGTGCGAAGCCGTGGAGGATTCAGATTCGCAGTTCCCTGACTCTATTTGGTGCCGGTTGCAGTTAAAAGGCAGGGACGCTTGCCTTATTATCTTGGTGTACCGTGCCCCTAACTCAACACCCGAAACCGACTACCACCTAATGGCTGCTTTAAGGTGCAGTTTACAACAAAAGTACACTCACATTCTTATCATGGGTGATTTCAACGTACATTGTTTAGAAGCCCCTGCCACGACCGGAGAACAATTCAAAACCGATTTGCAAGATCTAGTAACTACTGCTCCTCTTTACAACCACATCACTTTGCCCACTCGGTTCAGAACTGGTAACAGGCCATCTGTGCTGGATCTTGTGCTTACCAACGAGGAGCATATGATTGATGCGTTGGTTTTAGACAGCCCGTTGGGTCGCAGTGATCACACAGTCATCAGTTTCAACTTCGTCTGCTATGCAGAATATCTGAATGATAACGATGGTACTGTGCGAACCATCACAAGGTACGACCGACTCGCCCAGCTAGTCAGCGCCACAACATGGTCTTTCCTCGAAGAAGAACCCCCCGGAAGTCGCCTGGCTCGAGTTCGTCAACACATTTAGTCAGCTGATTGCACAGGCTTCAGAGATAAAAGCTTTCAATAAGTGCAAATCCGTTTCTTTCGTTAGGAGCAGAACCCGAAAATGGATGACAGTACGCAACACAGCATGGCGAGTGTACAGAGAAGCTCCAGCACCAGAAACTTGGGACAACTACGTAGCCCAACGTAACCGCTGCACTCAACTGTTAAGAGAAGACAAAGCCGCCTATCAGCAGAACATCGCAAAAACCGTCAGTGCTAACCACACACTGCTGTACAAGCACGTTAATAGCCTACGAAAGGTAAGGCAAGGATTTCCTCCACTCAAGACGGCTGATGGCCCAACAAAAACGTCTATGGAAGCTGCAAATGCGCTGCAGATGCAATACGCCCCCACTTTTCAAAGGGTCTTGTCACCAAGCGATCTACCAAGCCTTGTATTCTGCTCACCAGGACTAACCCACATCAATTTTACCGCAGAGGCTGTATTGCAAAAGCTGATGTCTCTACGCAAACACAGCTCGCCGGGTGTCGACGCCATTCGTCTTGAGGCATTGGGAGCAGCAGCAAACCAACTGGCAGGACATTTAGCTCAGTTTTTTCAGCACTGCTTAGACCAGAACCAAGTTCCCGCCATGTGGAAGCTTGGAATAATAAGCCCGATTCACAAAGGTGGAAGCAGATCTGATCCCTCCAACTACCGCCCAGTAACCCTTCTTCCTATAC